ATTCGTCTCTTTTCGTTATCTCTCTCTCTCTCTTCCTCTCTGTTCGTTACATTCACATCTATGCATCTTGTAAGTCTCACTCTCACCAGCACCCTTTCTTCTTCCTCACTATTTCGAATTAACCACGCGCATACACGTTCGACACTTAACTGTCACGGCGTGCATGAGATCTTGTTGATTTAATCAAAATGAGATTTCATTGAAATTACGCCACGATGAATTCGAAATTTCACTGATATAACCAAGACATCTGAGAGCTTTCGAAAACTGTTAGTGAAATATTATTATTTCACTGATAAATCATTGATGTGACATTTCTTCTAACGCGTATCTCAAACAACGAAATAGGAAAAATTTTACATATATATTGAAATTAAAACGAATGATATATCACAAAGTAACACAAATCAAGTGTTGGAGCAGAGACAGAGATGGACAAACATAAAATGCAGTTTACACGACACGAGATACACTGAACATATTCTAATCGACGCGCGCTTACCACTTTTTCCTTTTCTCTTTTCTATCGTTTTGCATATTCGTCTCTTCGATCCAAAACACAATAAAAAAAACACTCGCGAGAAAAGTCACTAAAAGAGCCACAGCCCACGAACAACACCACCATCCATCGTGTTAGGGCGCCCCGTTTCGTCGCCACTGCCGGCATGCATACCCGGTGGTTCTTCACCGCCTCGGCGCTAAAATGGCGATCGAAGTGACAGCTCTCGCCTCCTCCTCGCCGGGTTCGGTCGAACAACCGCTCTTTCGATTCATACTAGTACGCACCGACTATATTCCATCTTTCTTTCTTTCTCATTCTCTCTTTCCTTCAATTCCCTCTCGCCTGTATCTCTCTACATTTACTCTTTACATCTTTCTAACCTTTCTTTTTATCAGACTCACGCACACTCACATACACACTCTTATAACACGCGGTACAACAGAATAAGGCTCTTTTAGTTCTTTGAAACAATAAAATCAACCACGAATCGAGCCGGTTTTGATGCGTACCACGCGGAACTGACGATTACACGTAAATGCACAGACACACCATGGAGATACTTCTTGATGGCGGCTCGAAATCTCAGTCCCGGACGACGCCTACACCACCACCACGTACTACCTTAATAGCTGTGCTTGCCCGGACTCACGGGACTCGACTGGGCTCCGCCAGGCCACGATATCTCCGCCGCACTTGCGCTAACCGGCTATTGCTCCTACCCTTCGCAAAGATATACTAACCGTTCCTCGTTCTTACGCTCACCCCCAGCGCAGTTCTATTACCCGTGCAGACTAACTAAACCCTGCAGAGCTCCCACGCCCGCGAAACAGCCAATGCTGGAGCTTGTCGACAGGCCCGTCTAATTTCATCCAAGGGCGCCAACCTAGCGAATATTCATTAACAAACTATGATTAAAATATCATTATAAAAAAAGGAATATTAAGTAATATTTGTAAACTAATCATTATTAAAAATACTAATAATAATATAATTAAAATTTTATTATGTAATAAAAATTGGAAAAATGTTTTTAATATTCTAAAACAAATATAATATATTTTTAATTTCATGGAATTAAAATAAATAAACATATATAAATGAGTAATGAGTAAAACTTTAAACATTTTTTATTATAAAAGATAATAAATTTTTTTACAAAAAAAAATATACCCGCAAAGTGAAGGGTCTAAATCTAGATTATACGGGTCTAACTTTCGCCCCGTTGAGTTGTGTTGTGACTAGGTAAACGAATGAAATACTCTAATGGTCTATGTTCGTCTGTTTTCACTTGTTACTTTGAACTTACAAAATAAACGACAGTTTATCATATTTACAAATTTGATCGTAATGATCGATAGATATGGAAAGAGATCAGTGTTGAATCATTTGACGAAGATATACGCCAATATGAATATCTTATACGAGATTGAACATTCAAATTTTTCTTTATTTCTTTAAAATTATCGGTTTCGTTATTCGTTTGGTTGATATCCATTTCGAAAACATCGATAATGTCACATAAAAAGCTTCACTTGAGCATTGATTTCTCATTGCGAAACATTGTTCGACGACTTTAACGATGCAATTAATTCTGGAAGCTTGATCACTAGAATGCCCTGTCAACAGACGAAATATATGCCTCGTCGAACCGGTACGGTGTCGTGCGAGTCTCTTAATTAATCATCACACGATAGAACTTAACGACTTAATCTTAAGGTAAGGTTATGTACGAACTGTTAAGCACATGAGTATCACGTCGCGTCGTTTACATTATGTGATGAAAGATTTATTAAGAATGAGAAAATGTTAAAATATTATATATAAAAACATTGCATAACAACATAAATAAAGAAAAATATTATCGAAATAATATTTGAAAAATATGTTAAATAGAGATGTCATAAGAATCGTGACATACCGTTTTTGTTATTTACGCGAATAGTCAACTTTAATTCGATTTCATGACCAACGACGGTTGGAGATCAAAGTTCTATTCAGTCGATTTCGGATTGTTCAATCGGCGGTGCAAAATATCAAGCCGTGGGAGCCGTAATTGAATCTGTAACAGCAACCGAATCAGCGCGACAGCCAATCATTGCATTATACGAGTCACTCACCGATCGACATTCGTTAGTCAATCGTTCGTATAATTGTTGGGTTACAGTTGCCCAGTTAAGCTACAGCTTTGTAGTTGAAGTATCAGATAAACGTACAGTGTTAATACGGCGAAATGACACGTTGAATGAAAGAAATACAATACATTGTTAATTAGAAGATGAAATTTAATAAAATGCATAAAAGAATTTTTATTTTTATTATATAAGTATACTTTGAACAATATGATAATACGTCATTGATATTTTTACTTATCATATTCCCATGAAAATTATGTTCTTCAAAAAATTGCGTTCAAGATATTAAAAAGCAATTTTTATATTTACAATTTTTAAATATTATTTCATTATCTCATCCTTGATAGTTTCTGGCAAATATAAAAAGCGAAAAGCGCATGATGACAAATAATGATACATCTGACGCGTAGACATGTGAAGATTACAGAGATTAGAGTCATCCCACAGGTTGGGAGCGGCGGGAATGTAAAGTTGTTGCTTTGTTACCTCGGTAAACAGTAGGAAAGCGGTGGAAATTAGTCGTTCGGCTAGAGCCAGTGCCAGGAGTGGCACCATGATAATTAGGTTTCACTTGGTTCGCTTTAATAATCCAGACAACATGCAAAGTGCATTGCTGGGATCCTTGCATCCATGAAAGCATAGCATAGCGAAGTGTCTGGTGTGCGTGACCAACGTTAACGTTACCGCGGCTTGGCCGCGGTGGGTGACAAATTTTGCAAGGACAGCCGGAATTATTAATGCCTTTTCCGCGGAGAGGCCGAGACGAGGCGCGAAATTAGCAAGCCCGAAAGCGGTACACGGTGCACTACAAGCGAATTCCAATCGAGATAATGAAAATTAACGACGTTAAAGTGACGTCACGCTCGTAATTAATTATCACGGCCCGTTTACTGATTGTCGATCGAGTTCTTCTGTTACATCAAAACCTTTTCATAAGGAAGGACCATATAATCGCGATATCAATCCTTCATTAATTCCTTTGCTGAAAAATGAATTCACATCGAAATTTTTCGTAACAATATTCGCGATTAATTCTTCAAGACGATTTTCTATGTATATATATGCATGAATCACTAGTTCTATGAATTATACTTATATATCGTATCATCAACACTCTCACCGCAAACTTTCTTATGGCAAATGATCATACTTGTATTCGACAAGAAAAATAAGATAAATAATCTTAATTTCTAATAAATGTTATTTTTAAAACTATCACGAATAATTTTGATTAAAAAAATAATCGTTCTTTAAATTTTAAACGTTTATTTTATTGTTATTATTCATCTATAAAATTGAATCCTGTTTAACTACCATCTTTATAATCTTAATAAAAATAAGATTTTTATATATATATATCAAACTTTATTTGATTAAAGTAAGCTGTATGTATAATATAATGAACCTTTTTATTTTATTTATCATTTATTTCATTGAATTTTTTTTGTTTTCATACAAATTATTTTCCATGCTTAAATTTTATTCTTCGATAACATGAAATTATATATATTTTTTGTAATTCATGCGCATTATAAATCAGTTTATATTAGAATATTTATATAATTTGGTCGATTTTGCACATATATTTACGCGTAGAAAATATTTCATGCAAAGATTTTATTTTTGAGTGATATTTATTTTGAATCTGTAATTAAAATTTCAAATTATTTCTATTTCAAAATTTTTTAATTTTTATTTTGAAATAATATATATTTGTAAAATTATAAGATTAAATACGATGCATATGTTGAATCATTAAAGAGCAAGCGAGAAATATTATTAGATACAATCTAAAGTAAGAAAATCTAGATATATGTAGTAAGTTGCAAATAATTTTTATTGCATATGATAAAAACATATTTGTAACTGTTACCTATTTAAAAAGAATGCGATTGAAATTGCATTATTAATTAGAATTATTGATTGAATATTATATAAAAATAATTATAATTCGTCAAAAACGAATATATAATAAAATTTTTAATTCATTTAATGAAGATAAATATAGTTGAAACTTATATATTATACATCTGGTATTCAGAAATACTGACTATAGGGAAACACGTGCGACACACGTGTACGAAATGGCTATCGTAAAAGAAAAAAAATTGATTTAAAAAAGATGTTTCAATCTGAAGAATTTTAAGGTAAATTCCCTCTCATGTTTTTTAAATAAGTAAAACATTAATTTAAAAATTATTTAACATAATTCTTTACTATCAATAATATTATTTGATTAGTTGATCAAATATTGATTTTTATCTATTTATGTATTCTATTTTGTATTTTATATTGTTGAATGAAAAAGATAAGTAGAATAAAATAAAATTATGAAATAAAAAAAAAATGATATAATAGAAGTAAAATAAATACAAATAAATTTATTTAAACATTAAAAACTCGTTTAAATTTATAAAATATAGGTGTTGTCATAAATACATCCATTATTAAATATTGTGAATTTTTGGGATCAGGTATAACATTTAAAACAGTCGTTTCTTTGTATAACCATGATGCTTCTACACTTCCATTTCCTACTTTAATACGTTTTTGTATTAAATTAGCAGTATGTATAATTTCTTCTTGTATTTTTAATCGTAATAAATCAATGCCTTTTAATTTGATAGCAGAAACAGTAAACGCATCTTCTGGTAAAACATCTTCTATCTCATTTTTTTCAACCATATCACATTTATTAGCAACATTAATTATTATTTTATTTTCATCTATTATAGACTGTATTGTTTTTTGAACATGCTGGATTTGAGCTTTGACATCAGGATGACTTATATCAAACACATGAATTAAAATATCCTGTAAAAAATTAGAATTATTTTATACACTTTTAAATTAAAATGTAATTATTAAAAATAAAATTGTACATACTGCACTTATAGCATCTTCTAAAGTTACTAGAAATGGCTCTAATAGAGTTTCCGGTACATCCTGAATAAAGCCAATAGTATCAATATATAATACTTTCAAGCTATTTGGAAGTAATCCTTGATGTACTGTTGTATCTAAAGTGGCAAATAGTTTGTTCTCTGGTTGTAATGAAGCATCTTCTGTTAATGCTTTTATCAAAGATGTTTTACCAGCATTTGTATATCCAACAATAGCAATAGTTGGAAAACCATAACTAGATCTATGACGTTTTATCATTTGTCTATGTTCTTTCAATTTCTTTAGTGCATTTCTTAATTTTTTTTCTCTGATTTGAAGTAAATTTTTTGTTTTTTCATCAAATTTTACTTGACCAATAAGATAATTAGTTAAATCAATCATTTTCTTTCTTACATATGGAATTTCAGCTATAGCTACTTGCAATTTCGCTTCTGGACTTTTTGCATGTTCTCGAAAAATATGAATAACTATACTATAGCGATCATAAATTGGTAAATGAAAAATGTTTTGTAATTCAGCAATTTGTACAAATTTCAATAAATTTGTACTAATGAATATAGCTGTAACATTTGGACAATTTGTAATATCTTTTTTCAAAGTTTCAAGAGTTCCTGAACCAACTAATTTGTGTTTTTGTAAAGAAAGTAATGGAACTATCTTTTTACCAACAACACTCCAATTTGGTAGAGTATTAATAAGTGTTATTGCCTCTGCTAATTGCAATTGAGGTGTAGTATTTCTTTTTTTTTTAACACCCCATTTTATATATGGTTGTATAACAAATACTCTATTTTCACCAATAATTGATCCTAAACAATCTTTAGCCAATTTTGAATAAGTATTTTTTTCTTCTTCAGTTTCATCATATTCTTCAAATATAACTCTATCAAATTTGTATCTATATTGATAAGTAATATAATTCAATAATTCTTTTTTCTTATTTCTTACATATTGTAATTTATTTAAAACTACAAGTCTTTTCAAGTATTGCATTATTTAATAATTATGTAGCATCTAATTCTTTATATATATAGATATATATATATATTTAAATATAACATATAAAAAGAATGTTATTTTATAACCTAAAATTTAGCAGTATATGTGATAAAGTGACTAATATAATTTAAAAAAAAAATTCGATATTATATATATATATATTATATATTTACATAAATACTTTTAATTTTTAGATATTTAAATATAAAGTGTATAAATTTATAAATATACTTCACGTTATATCAATTGCAAAATAAGATATTTAACCTTACTTAACAATTCCTTTCACTCAAAATGTTCGAGAATTAATATTAAAGATTATTTTAAATTATTATTATTTCATAATAATTAATAATCATCATCAAAATAATTACAAATTTTAATATTTGTATGTAAATTTATTCTTAATAAAAAAGTATTAGGCATTTTTTAATTAAACTTAATATATTGTATATTTTTTATAATAAATAATATAATACACAATAATATTTTTATACATTACATATTTATATATAATGTCTCGTTATATCTTGTGTTGTTATATTTTAAAAAATTCAGTAGTATTTCACATTAATGTATATTCGTATACTCGAGTTAAACTTGAGAATCGACATTCAAACAGATGTTTTTGCCACGTGACTAAAGATCTTATCACGAAACTGACAATGTGTCAATTTTTCTAAAATTAGAAATTATAAATTTTAAAAATTAATTAAAATTAATTAAAATTTTTAAAAATGGAACCAGGAATATTAACAAGAGTTCTATCCGATTTTTTAACAACTATTGATGGAGAATTAAGTTTAAATAAAGGAGAATATTTTTTGGTAATTTTTTTATAAACATTTATTTATAATCTATTAATAAATAAATAAATAATTAAATTATTTTTTCCGTGAAATTGAATAGATATACAGTATTATAGACAGACACTGGTGTTATGGAGAATCTCGAGGCAGAACTGGAAAATTTCCTTCGAATCATTTACATAAAGTAGAAATTCCACCTTTACATGACTCAGAAACTTTATTTATATCAATTACTGCTTTTCCAGGACAACAGGATGGAGATTTATGTTTTTCTCAAGGTAATTTATATATATATATAATATATATATATTATATATTTGATATATTTACTTTAAAATAAAGTTACTTTTATTTATTTTTGATTATATTTATATGAGAATAGGAGAAATGATCATAGGATTACAAAATGTTGGATCTGGATGGTATTTAGGCCAAATAGATACTAAAAAGGGTATTTTTCCTTTAACACATGTATGGCAACTTGATACTAAACTATTGAAGGTATATCTATTATATAAGAACACAAATAAGAAATAAAATAAAAATAAATAAATAAAATCTATAATTAAACTATTACTTTTAGAAAACTTTAGAGAAAAAGATTATAAGGAAAAAGGCTAGAATAAAAACTAGTTTAAAAGCTCAATTAGAAGGAGAACTTGATTTAATAGAAGGTAAAATAGTCACTGTTACAGAAATTCTTGAAGATGGTTGGTGTTATGGAACAACAGAAGATGGTAAAACAGGAATGTTTCCAGAAGATTTTATATCATATATAAATAACAACATAGATCAATTAGATACAGCTTCTGCAGCAGATAACTCTTCATCCATAAATTATAATGAAAGAATATATAGAAACATTGAAATGCCTTCTACAAGTATATCTGTTGAAGAACCTGCACCAAATTATTATGATTTATTTCCTGAATTCAAATCAATTTCTTCAAACGTAACAAAAAGTTTAAAAAATACAAGTAATTTAAATACAGTAGATGTAAAACCATATGCTATAACTTTATATCCATTTAATTCTCAATTTCCAAATGAACTTAGTTTTGAAGCGGAAGAAGTAGTGCACCTCATTAAACATATAGATTCGGAATGGATAGAAGGTACAAAAGATAATCAAAATGGCATTTTTCCTATATCTTATGTTAACATTATAGTAGACTGTAATGAAACAAATAATGAACAAAATTTGTGTAATCAAGAAACAAATATAGTACAGTATAATGAATTAATGCCAGGAACTGAAGCAAGAGTAGAGTATACTTTTAAAGCTCAAATGGATGGAGATTTAACTATTTTTGAAGGTGATACTGTTAAAGTAATCAATATGGCAAATTCAGATTGGGTTAATGTTGAAGATCATTTTGGTAAAATTGGTTTATGTCCAAGAAGTTATTTAAGTCCATTGTCTACAGAATCATCAGATGTTAATACAGATATTTTTGAAGATTTCGTAATAATACGACATGAAGAAGGAATTTCTAAAAAAACAGATAAACAAAGATCAAAAAGACTTTCAGAACCGCATAGACCAGCACCACCTGTACCTGCACCGGGTAGAACTCCTTTACAAAAAAATACGATTGAAAACATCGACATTTCAAATGATATTAATCAGCAAATTAGTATTGCTGGTAATGATAATTTAGAAATTAAACAAAAGAAGGCAGATCAAAGACAAAATGTTATATCAGAATTAGTTCTTACTGAAAAAGAATATGTACGTGACTTAAAGCTAACATATGAGACATTTAACTTACATAATCCAAATCAACTTGAATCTTTGGGAATAGACGTGATTACCTTATTTGGAAATCTTTATGATGTTATTCAAGTTGCAGAAGAATTGTTAGATATGATATTAAAAGCAATGAAAGGATGTGATGAAGAATTGCAAACTATTGGCCCTTGTTTTATAGAAATGAATGAGAACTAAAAGGTGTTTATGTTAAATATTGTGGAAATCATGAAGCTGCTCTAGGTTTATTAAAAAAAGTTATTATATTTTATTTATATTCTTTTATATATTTTTTATATATATATATATATTTTATGTATCATTTTATAATTTCAGTATGAAAATAATGAAGAAATAATGAAAATATTCAATAAAGGTATTGAAACATTACGATATCAAATAGCTTGTTTTGATATGAGTTCTATTCTTATAAAACCAGTACAAAGAATATTAAAGTATCCTCTTATTTTATATGAATTAGTAAAGGTTAGTTGATGATAATATTTATATATGTATATTATGATTAATGTATTATAAACTTCTTTAAAATTAAATACTTATTTTTTTTTAGTGTACTGAGGATAACCACCCTGATAAATATACAGTTGAGGAAGCATGGAAAACTATGACTGCTGTTGCTAGTCATATTAATGAGTATAAACGTCGAAAAGATTTAGTATCAAAATATTTAGATAATGACAACACATTAATAAGAAAAATGGCTAAACTTAACATGCATTCTGTAGCAAAAATGTCTACTAGATTGAGTACACGATTATCTGCAAGTTTAGGATTAACAAATGTTGCTATTGATCCAGAATTTGAAGAATTAGAGAGACAATTTAGATCTGTTGAAAAATGTACTCTGCAATTATCTAAAGATGTTGAAAATTGTCTTATATATTTAAGTGATGAAGCTATTTCAGGAGACATGATATCAGATTTTATAATTCAGTATTATCAAGGAACAGTAAATATCGAAGCAAAGAAACTTAGAGATATAAGATCTATAATTTGGTCACAATTTATTCAAGATTTAAAAATATGTTTAAAAAATAGAGTTAGTGAACCAGTAAATTGTTTAGCAACTTTATTAGAAGGACCTGCTGTTTTAATAACAAAGACACATGATAAATTATTGGATTATGATGCTGCTATCTCTAAGAGTGAAAAATATAAAGAATCAAAAATTGTAAATTATTATATTTAATTACTTTTCTAAATATTATAATTAAAATATTTTATTTTTATAGGCACAAGATGAATTATCAACAGCAAAAAGTAACTATGAAGCTTTAACACATCAATTAAGAGAAGAATTACCAATTGTAATTGATGCAGCAACAAATATATTAATAAATTGTATTAGTGCTTTTGCACATGCTAGAAAACTTTTGTGTGGAAAAATTACCAAAAGATATTTAAATCTCTGCGAGGTATTTGAAACAAAATGATGAAAAAATATAAATATAATAAATAATTATATAAAGAAATATATAAAAACTATATAGAAATTATTTATATTATTATTTATTTATTTTTATAGACTTCAACTCAATTAACATCTCAGGATATTTTGGAATCATTTCTAGTTAATCATAATTTATTATGGAATCAAATAACTCGTTTTGCATTTGCTGGATCAAATCCACGTGTAGAAGAAGCACAATCCACTTGGTGTCCACAAAGTGAAAGACAAAGAATTTCATTAAAAAATAAATATTTTAATGATAAGTTATATGTTGTTACAGAAAATGTACCAAGCACTTCATCTTTGGATATGGGTGCAGCACGTGGCACATTAGTTGCAGTTATTAAGAAACAAGATCCTATGGGTGATAATTCTAGATGGTTTGTAGATAATGGAGTTGCTCAAGGATTTTTACCTGCTAAAAGTTTGCAACTTCAAAATATATCACAAGTTAAACAAGTTAATGAAGTTATAGCTTCAAATAAATGTAGTAATACATCTATGCCTGATTTAATTGTATGGACTCTCCTGAAAAAGAACTCAAATCTACATTCCAATCACATTTGCAAGAATTGCTAGATCTTAATATTAATAAAGAAGTGAATAAAGATATTCATTATTATGGTAATATTGAACAAATTCCTAAAGTCCAACAATATCAAAATTTAAGTTACGAGGTAATATTAATTAATATTATATAATAAAAATTCCTTTTAAAATAAATAATAATATTTTTCAGTTCTACTATGCAGAATATGATTTTTCTACAAAGATGCCTGGAACATTGTCTGTCATTAAAGGACAAGCATTGAGACTTGTTAGACCTCATGATGAAAAAGGAAATGATGAATGGTGGCTTATGGAGGATCGTTACGGTAATAAAGGTTACGTACCTAAAAATTATTTACGAGAACCGCCTACAGAGTAATAGTAATAAATAACTAATAGTAATAATTATAAACTCACAAATTATTATTATTTTATATATTTAAT